ATTATATTATAAAATAGTAGTTCAATTTGTGAATGAAGATAGTAGTGTTTTCTGTATTTTTACAAACTACCATCGTTTAACACTGTTTTTCAAGCTACTTTTGTAAGTAAACAGCGGACTACTCGGTTCTTTCTCAAAGAAATAGAATTAATATTTAGAAACGTAGGAAATACTATTAACTTGAACGTATGAGACAAGCAAATTGTTAAAAAGAGTAAAAAAAAGATACCGTCATTAATCATTGCGACTTCCATGTGTCTCTGTATTAAGTTCTTAGTTAAAGTCTTCTATGATAAGTCAACATAAGAGATCAATAAGACTAATAATTAATGTGTCTGTATCGTTTAATAGTGAGTAGAATATAAGTTAAAGACCCGAAAATACGTGTACTTAAGCGGAAAAAAAGTATGTATGACGAAGTGAAACAGGTATCTTTTGCTAAGCGATATATCTATAAGTTTATATTACAGTAAAATCTCTCGATTGTGAATACCATCGAGACTTTTCAAAAACGTTCACTCGAAGGATGTGTTCACTTTAGAGAGATGCATGCATGTTTTGCTGAGAAATGTGGAAAACGTTCTAGAATGTCTGCTTCTACACTAGTCCTGAATTAAGTAGAGGCTTATGTTGTTCATCTCTTTTCATTGAAATATATTTGAATTGAAATATTTTTCATTGCAACAAAAAATTTAATTTTTATCAATAAAATTCTCTAATGTTGTTTGACTGTTTGTTTTTGAATCAATATAAACATCAGTTAATTTGGATTCTAATGCATTAACTTTTTTTCATATGTACAATAGTCAGTTTTAGTACATAAAGCGTAGTTAGTGTTAGTACAAAACGGACAGATGATAAACAGTAGAGAGAGAGAAACATTGCACGTGTGTTCACATCATAGAGGTTATAATAGCAGGAGGGACTGAAAAAAAACGTGTTCATGTTCAGAATACAGAGCTGTTCACATTAGAGAGATGCATTTCCAGCAAAAAACGATCCCTCGGATCTGAGAGCATGTCCATTGAGGAGGTGTTCACTAATGAAAGCCTTACTGTAGATAAAATTCTTGTGTCATCAAAACATTTTAATAAAACTCCTGGTAAAAACGCTTTAATAGAAGTTTTATTAATGAAAGTTACCCAGTTCCTACTCTTATCAGATCAGTAGAAGGAGAAGTGAAACTTATATATCTAAGATCCTTACCAAATACAAAATAAGTACGCCATTCCCTGCCTAGGAGACTCTTAGATTTAAGACGATCGAGACATTTATGAAACACTTAAAGGTAAGATGTGAGAGTTAGGGTAAATTCTTAATTTTAGTAAAGTAATATTTTCTGATATGGATGCTAAGGACTGCTGTTATATAATGGCGTAACTAGGATTTCTTAACTATTGGGTCAACTCTATTAGTTCGTAAAAAATGACTGAGTCACACACTATGATAATTCGAGAAAAGACTGGCGCAAAAACCTTTTCTCGAATTTTCAACTGGGAAAATTACCTTAGGCATCGGCTTTTATATAAGAATCAGACACGAAACGTGAAAGGGCCATGTACGCATCTTTTTTTCTTTTTATCTTATCGAACTTTATTTAACATCAACAGCAAAAAGCACAAAAAAATAAAGAGCAGACAAATCGATAAAAAAATCATTGTATGCCTGAATCTATTCGACAAAAACTAAACAATAATAAAACAGTTAAGGGAGAAAAAAAGAGGAAAAGAAATGGTGATGAGAGAAATAGAGAAATTCGAGTAAGCATCCATCTGACACTGTATAAGAACAACAATACAGAAGACATCAAGTCAATTAAAGCACTTGGTTGAACGAATATATTAAAGAATAGAATTAAAAATTGATATGAATATTTAATGGCAGGAGTTTGTGTAAACTCACAATATTTATTTATTCAGCACAAATTATTTATTTATTACAAAATTTTAAAAATATATTACTCTAACGTTTCGAATCACCGACTCAGCATCAGAGAAAATTTAATCATATACAATGTGAATAGAGAAATGTTGACGTTACACTTACACTGTACGTATAAAGAAAAATAGGAGAAAAGTACATATATATATAGATTTTATCATATGTGCCATCCATTACATGCCATCCATCAAGACCAAACACATACGTATGACAACTGTCTAAGTAAAACTAGTAGTAGAACGTGAAAAGAAAGAAGAATCATTAATTTTTCTTTCTTACTCTAGAAACTTTCTTTAAAAATCTTTCAGGATATATAAAAAGTGGTACTGATCTATCAGTACCGTTAAATTGAGGAAAATTTTCTTTCATAGCCAAGGATTCTCGTATTCTTAATCTGTAGTTTCTATTATCGTGAGCCTATATATTTATTTTATTAAAATTGATTGAATGACCAGTTTGTAGAACGTGTTTACCTAACTCTGATTTAGGTCACTATAAGCCTAAATCAGGTTTTCACGTTCTTCTGTTAGTTTTACTCAGACAGTTGTCATACGTATATGTTTGGTCTTGATGTGCTTATCCTATAATGGATGGCACATATGATAAAATCTATATATATATGTACTTTTCTCCTATCTTTCTTTATACGTACAGTGTAAGTGTAACGTCAACATTTCTCTATTCACATTGTATATGATTAAATTTTCTCTGATGATGAGTCGGTGACTCAAACGTTAGAACAACATATTTTTAAAATTTTGTAATATATAAATATTATGAAAATTGATAGTAGGTCATCTCTATTCAATGTGCGGCTAGAGTGATGGAGGGGTAATATGAGATCTAAAGTAATAGAGGAATTTATAATACCGCACATCTGTTGAAATATCTTCTGTCGCTGTTCTTCATAATCAATACATTCCAAAAAGAAGTGTTTTACTGCTTCCTTAGCAGTCCCACAGTTACATACCGAGGACTGTGCTGAGACATGAGTAAAAAGAGGTACATTTTTAATTGAGAAAAACCTAGTCTACAGCGTGTATAGTGAATTTCAAGAGAACGATCATGCACTAGAGAAATATGAAAGGGCTGAACATTTTGAGACGTTAGGTGACATTTAAAGTCTTTTAGACGGTGCAATTGTTTAGCATTGTCGTGCAACATATTCCACTGTCGACCATCTTCACGTTTAAATGTTTTTTCAAGAAATATACGACTTCTAAAAAACGTAGTAGAGCTCCTGATGTTATAGGAATGATGACTGCGATTAGGATACAATTTAATAAGATAAGAAGGCACGAAGGCACTCTACAATGTATAATTTTGTGAAATAAACACACGCAGCGTAATAAGAACTCTTATCACCTTCTTATGAAATTCTTATGAGATTCTTACTCGACTCGTATCTGATTCTTACGAAATTCGGGCAACGTTTGTGACACGTCTTATATAAGAATATGGTAAGAATCGGATAAGATTTTTAGCAAAAGCAGATAAGAAAGTGGCAAGATCCTTACTAGATCTCTGTCCAATTCTTATATAAGAATTAAGTAAGATGAGATATAAGATTTTTATCGGATTTCCCAAATTTTTTTGTCTATGATACAAAGTTATTGGGCCAAAGCTCAAAATTTATTGGGCTATAGTATAATGCCTCCTCCCTTCCCGTAGTTACGCCACTGCCGTTATATGTTTTGTATACATACCATGTGTACCTCTTAATCGTGGATTGTTATGTTGACTGGAGCAGTTCGTAGGTTCCTTCAGTAAGTATTTAGAATTGTTTTACTATATAATAACACTTTGACTCTATTAAATCGAAGTTTTTTGTTGCCTCTGAGCAACCATTTAGACAGGACTTTATTTGGCTAGTAATACACCAGGCGCATCATTTAAATTAAATTTTAAAATTTCGTTGTTTCGTTCTTGAAGAACTTCTCTACTGGGCTTCCTGTTTCGTAAAGATAATAATACACTATAGTAATTATTCTATGAGTATACTCATAGATTGATTGACTATAGTGTCATACCTCACAAACTGTTAGAGAAGTTACATATTTTAGTCCCGAAGGAAGGCTACAATGACAAGCATTTTTTGAATAACTTTTGGTAGAAGATAAGTAGAGACTTGCTTGACTTGAGGCTTGTTTTCAGGCTTCCAAAGAGAACACCTGAACACATACTTTCATAGGTAAAAATAAATTTAGGAAAAATTTCTGACGCCGATTTTCCAGAGGATCTTTGGAAAACCAGCTCCGTTTCAGAAAATTAACATACAATGTTAGTAATTCTTTTGTATGCGTAGGTAGTTTGGACGTTACTCTACAAAATTATGCACGTCCCAGTTCTCCAGCTATCGTCGTTTAAACAGGGTTAGCTTTCTCCGAGCACGTGTCTATCTCCGAGCAGACATCTCTGGGAATCTCGAAAAGCCATGGAAAATAGGTAATCGACTACGCCCAGTATAGTGGCAACATTTTCTTTTATGTAAAAATGAGAGTAACTTCGCCAGGGGCATTTTAGTGAAAAACCGTTTTTTCGCCTGTTACTAGCAAAAATTAAAATCCTTGTATCTCGGTCAAATCTCATGCTGACTCAACGAAATTTTCAGAAAAGACTTAAAAGACGCGATATATTATTGATCAAGCTCAAAAAGTGGTTCAGAACAACAGTGAGACTTTGAGATTTTTCAGGAGGTTTCTGAAAAACCTTAACTCACTGCCTAGCTGAAGTTCACCTTTTTCGTCTTCGATTATATTTTATGGAGTAGTGTAGAAGTCAAAAATCTAATTAGATTTTTGACTTTTTACACATTTTAGACTTTCTCTAAGACCTTTAGACTTTTAAATTTGTTAGACTTTTAGACTTACGCATTTATCAAATATTTAGTGGTGGCTAGCATTAAAGCGATTACTGGCAGTCGACTTTTGCAGTACACTGCGACTTTTTTTTAAATTAGGGAGGGAAGATAGCAATAGGTTACGAGAGAGTATTGCACTGATGATTGTTGTTGGTGGATGCACCGGGCATTTGGTCTTATAGTGCGAGTTACCGAATTGATGCAAAACCAAAGCAAGGGGGTACTTTTATGGAAAACATGGGTTTTACAGTATGGCCCGCCCTCCTGTCGTTTTGCTCGTAACAATAAACGAAGAGAGCCATGTCAGTCTGGAATGTTCTCCTATACCGTATTCCCATCAAATGCTTTGAGGTGTGACTTTGCTTTCCAACCACCTTTTAGAAAGCCCAAAGAGCACTTCCCAAGTGAGCTGCCCTACAAAACCAGCTCACTATTTTTGCCTGGCGAACACCTAAAGTCACTCCGTATTTACATCAGCGAATTACCCAGAATCGTATCAAAAGACCAAATGACTGACATGTATGTCAGGTACCATAAACTACCAACGCAATATTCTCTCGTAACTCACACTCATCCTACCCTGCCCCCGCACCCGCTTAGCATACACCTGTCCAAATGTAGTTCAAACGTGGAATTCCAGTAGTGACTTTCAAGATAGTCGTCGCTATAAGCCTGATAAATGTGATGATCTAAAAAGTATAAATCTAAGAAATCTAAGTCTAAGAAGTCTAAAAGCGTAACATAACCTATGAAACTGAAAATACTTTTAGACTTTTTAAACTTTTTAAAAATCTAATTAGACTTTAGACTTCTACACGTATGTGCTCAGGAAAAAGTAATCAGTTGAAGTAGAATTATTATTATTATTACTTTATTGTGTTTTTAGTTATACAGGTATCACCAATGCTTCTGTTTACCAGATGTTATAACTTACTAAACGTTTACTTTCTTTGCAGTGTTCTTGCTTATGCCAAACAAATTTGAACTTAAGCTTGAACTAGATGCACTGTATTCCAAAGTGTTGCACCCTAGACATCAATTCTTATATAAGAATTGGACTGGGATCTAGTAAAGATCTTGCCACTTTCTTATCTGCTTTTGCTAAGAATCTTATCCGATTCTTACCATATTCTTATATAAGAAGTGTCACGAACGTTGCTCGAATTTCGTAACAATCAGGTACGAGTCGAGTGAGAATCTCATAAGAATTTCATAAGAAGGTGATAAGAGTTCTTATTAGTTTCTTATTGAGTTCTTATGAAATTCATATAGCAAAAGTTTTTCTGACCACTCGCGAATGATTCCCTCAGCAATTTTCTGGGTGTTAAACAATAATGAATGAAGAAAACAAGATTTTCTTAAAAAATCGGTCCGTTTAGGGTTCAAACCTGGTGAGTTGTTCATGATAACTCACACGTTCTCCTATTCAGATACTGCGGACGCATCTATTTAATAAAGATCGCGTCTTTATATTCTGCCACAACATCTTTTTGAACTTTGAACTTTGTTATAAGTGGTGCATAGTATTTTAAGTATGGAAATGATGTGTGTCACAATGGAGTATACTTTAGTGCGCCGAAATTTTAAGTTTATGATAGTGGATTCTAGACATGCGACTACGTTATTAAAATTCTTTGGTTTAACCCCTTAACTGTTAATTTTTTTTTACTAACTAAAAATCTTTTTACTCAGTAGCTTTTACAAATTCGCAGTTATTTAAGACTAATAAACCTTTTGTTTATAAATATCTTTTATTCCTATATGGAAAACAGATGTTACTTTTTAATAAGAAAGAGCAAAGTATTTCTTTCTGTGAATATTTTCAAAACTGAAAGTTTTGTTCATAAGTTTAGTACAGTATGATAAATACGAAAACATGGATCGACACAAAGTCCAACGTTGCAAACCGAACATTCGTATGTTGTTTCACGTCGTCTTCGATTGCTCTGAATTCCTGTATGACTACAAACAAAACATCGTCGTTTTGAACGTTATACGACGGAAAATGGCATCCAACTAACCGTATTGGTGTAGGTTCAGTTGATCGTCGATCTCTTCTAACTACTTGATTTGGAAGATGATCATGTAAATTGTATTCCAATAAAGAACGAGCAAGTGCTATACAGAATTGAAGTTGTGTCATCATGTTATCACATTTCACGATCAGACTTTTTCCTAATAGATTAGACTGGCGTTCACTAACCACCTCAAAACGTACATTTATATCAATATATGTAAACGATTTGTGTCTACTGTGATTGACTGAATAGGGCGTAACAGTTATCATGAAATTGGCATACTTGTTGAAACAGCAACTATCAGTCCACAAGCAGTACTGTGAAAATAAAACCTCACCAAATGTGAATTAAAATACGGTTGATACAGAAGAATATTATTAATAGCACACATTAGAATCAGAAAACATCTTAAGTTATTAGAGGATGTTCGAAATGATCTGTTACATACAGAAAAAAACATCGTTTAGAAACATTATTAATTATTTTTTTCATAAAGATTGCTCTGACGCCTATAGGCATCGATAACAGGTGAGAGGTTAACGAGAATCTCCGATCTTCATAGAAAAAGTTATTTTTATAAAATCTTACTGAAACGAAATAAATAGAGACTAATTCTTGTAAAAATCTTATAATGGATTCTTACCACTTTCTTATGAAATTTTTATACGATTCTTACTCAACTCTTATCTAATTGTTAAGAAATTCGGGCAACTTTCGTGCTACTATAAAAATGTGGTAAGAATCGGATAAGATTTTTATCAGAAATTTTAAAAACAAATTTATCTAGGGCAGAAGCCGTCTAATGTAGGAAAATTTTACATAAAAATATATTATTAGATCTACTTTTAGTGTTTTGTTTTACAGAAAATATCTATTAACATTATAGTTTGAACATGAAATAAATACTAAGATTGAAGAAAGGAAATAAATTTTCCACTTGATCATATCTATTGATAAAGTAACTACCGGACTACTGTTAGCAAACATTATTATTTCTAATTACAAGAGAAAATGCTGTAGTTTGTAGAGAAATAACTATTCTTTTTTAATTTGAAAGAAAAGGCAGAAAGTACTTGTTAAAAATTTTGCAACAATACTATTTTGTTCTTCATTTTAGAATGAAGTATTCACAAATATTTATTATATTCACGATTTTAACGTGTGCTCTTGCTTCTTATCTTGATATTCCCAAACCGCCTCAACGTCCACAACGATTTAAAACGCGTCAACAAATTGTAGATTATTTAAAAGCTGTAAAAGATTACTATGATGCCTTCAAAATTAAACTTGTACGTCGAGAAGATATTTTATCTAAATTATATTCAAATTTAGAAAATAGTGACAAAATTATTAATAATAAAGATAATCAACAATCAAACTATGAAGAAGAAACAACAATCAACTCAGATAAATCTGAATTTGATTCGGCATATCATCCATATTAAAATTATCCATTTTTAAAATATATGCTACTAATATCTTTTAATCGATATTTATTTCTTAGAAACAACAGGAAATGAAAAGTCAATATTAATCGACATCATTAATATTAATCAAATGATTAATTTTTAAATATTGCTCGATCATAGAATTTATTATTATCGATATTTTATGATAGATAATAGAACATCGACGAAAAGTAAATTTCTAATTTTACTTTTATTTGTTTTATAGGCTTAAAAAATCCTGTTCTCGTTTTCATGCTAATAACATCCTTGAATAAAGTGACATTTCCTTTAAAAATCTACAGTTAGTTCTTACTTCTTCCGTCTAAAAGTACATCGAAATTTGAACTTCATTAGCCAACGTTTAAACTGTTATAAATTTTGATCACGTGTTCAACAATGAAATAGATTTTAACATTTTCTATGTAACACCGAAAAAACGGCTGAATGATATATGTCTCTAGCACTTATAAAAGTTATTAGTTTAGATAAATTACAAAGAAAATTAAAATTTCATCTCACATGCTATAGTACTCTACAGTGCGCCAAAGTGATTTACAACTTTCTTTATTTTGCATATATATCTTCGTCCAGAAATATGGTAAAATTTTAATTTCTGTTTTTGGAAGTTGCATCATTTAATTCTCTACAAAAAAACATCCTGAACATTTTTTTATATAATACAGTTCTGTTTGAGAAAAGTGAGAATTACTGGCAAAATTCCGACTTTTTCGCCTCTTATGTAGAAAAATGAATTTTCTCAACAGTGAAAAAGAATCGAAAAGTGTACGTATACTTTGTAGAGCTTGAGATGGCGCATCGAACGATGTAAAAGGTTTAGCTCTAGGACCTCTCCAGAGGGAGTTGAAAGACTTACAAAAACGGGTGGCGGATTTTGGTCACTTTGGTTTCGGGCTTTGCCAAAAATCGAGTTTTCCTTTTGCGGCGTCAGAAGGCACATCTATTGATTCAGTTTTTGATGTTGAATCTGAATATGCTAATCTCAAAGCTGTCGCACTACACGGCTCTTTCTGAAAATGGGTATTTTTCCGTTTTTTGAGTCCCCTCATTTTTCTGATTGCAGCTCAGCGAGGAAAGGGTTTGGAGAGCCGGGGAAGTGATATTCGTGCTCGTTGTCGAATTCTCTATCGAATGATATATCAAACAGGCACTCTATTTTCCACTGTAACCTTGTATATTGCTAATAAAATCAATTAGTATCGATCAAGTATGGATTCAACAGAATAATGATGATAATGTAACTCTCTCAACTGACCGACGAACGATATCAACATCAATAAAAACGTTATTTATTTGAATTGGGATCTATCTTGGATAGAATTTAGCCAATTTAAGGGTTCCGTTTCCGTTATTTTGAGACAAACACATGGAAAGATAGTCTAAAGTGTCTTCTTTCCTAATCTGTATCTCGTGCCAACAAAACGTTTGCAACTGGCACTGTACGAGTCAGTAAATTTTTGAAATTAAAATTTCTTTAGACTTAAAACTTTTTTTTGAAAATTTCATCTATTCACAGATATAGTATGTACTACATACTATATCTGTGATAATAATACAAGTAATACATACTATATCGGATATACTGTAGTATGTACTACGTTTAAGTAATTTATGGAATCATCCTGTACATTTTAAAGTTATGTACTGTCACAATATGACACTGAAAAGAAATGTAGAAGGGACATTCGGCCGTAGCGGCATAAAAATCGTGTTATCAAAAGAGTAAATAAATAAATTGTTTTGATTTTTAAAAATACAGGGAATACATTTATAAAGAGATGATAGAATCATAGACACTTAGACAATCATGCTGACGGTTTTTCGAGACGTTTCATGAACCGCTGTACACATTTTCAGTTAAAAGATGCAGTGGATAAACAATTTATTATCGAAATTTAAAATGTAGAAGATTGGACAAAATGCTTATAACTTTTGAACGAAAGGTGATAGAGACCTGCGGTTAACTATGGGTAATCGATCATGTTGAGTTTTGTGGAAATATTTATTTTTAGAAAAAAGTTTAAAAATTTGCCTAAAAGCCAGTTTTACGAAAATTAGGGTTTTCAGGTTGTTTTCACCTAATATTAAAAAATTCCCTATTCACTTAAAAAACATTGGAACAAGCTCAAAACTTCGGGATATGATTAATGTTGTCCGCTGAACGTGATTGTAAGGTCGAAAAACACATTTTTGTTAATAGGTTTTCCAGGAATCCTTTTAGATAATTTGAGGATTCTGTAAAATTTGTTTCGAGATCTCCTATAAACAGGATATAGAATGGCATAAATGCACTACATTCTGATATTTTGGAAGGGAATAGTGAATTTTTTAAGTTACTTTTCAAGTCTTAATATTAGGTGAAAACAGCCTGAAAACTCTAATTTTCGTAAAATTGGCTATTCGGTATTTTTAAAACTTTTCTAAAAATAAATATTTCCACGAAACTTAGCATTCTCGATTAACCATAGTCCATCCGTCTTTAAGGCTACCAATAGTCAGCGGTTGCCAGTCCTTGTAGGAAATCTATCGCACAAAATGTGCTTTCTTTTGCTGTTTTAAAAAACACCAATGAAATATGTGTTTTGATGTTACTTTCAGTGAAAAAAGTAATAAAAGTAGAATGATTTATATTGAAGAAGTTCATTTTGCTTCAGAAAAACAATTCATAAATTCATGCCATTATGACCGGATGTCCCTTATTGCGTATCTTGAGAAGAAAAGTAACTTAAATTTTTGCTATGAGCGGCTTGTCCAGCTAACGGCCTTCATGTTTTGCTCTTTTTCGAAAAGTTAGCGTAATAAAGCTACGACTAATCTAAAATAGCAACTAGATGATTAAGTAGATTAAACATTTCTCTACAAAATGAAAAGTGCCTCGCCTCTGAACGTTGATTCGTTATGAAAATACAGCTGCTGCACAAACAGCCCCAAAAATCGATTTTTGGGCTATCTGAAAAGCGTGTCTAAAAGAGTGAAGACGAGCTAGTAAACAATGAACAAGTATACCGGTTTGTAGAAAATTGTTCGCTCTACAAGGTGTGATAGCTTGTTCGAAACTATTGCAATTAATCTGTATTAATCAAAGTAAGATCCGAAGACGGTAATGCTGTGACACTTTTGACCGCTTTTTGTCATGGTAGGTTCCGAACAATACATAATTTTTCGTTATGTCAGAAAAACGACTAACGGAGTGTTCAAAGCACTAAAATAGGTGAAAATCATTTTTTTAGTAAGAATTTTTTAAAACGGATACCCACTTTTATTCTACGCTCCAAGGCGGTTCGAATGGCGCAAGAATGAAAGTTCTGTCTCTCAAACGGTGAGAGTAGATAGCTGTGCAAGCGGAGGTGGTCGCTTCGGAGGATATGAAAGTTTGGCGAAGAAGGAAGCATTTCTGACGACTCAAAAACTTTGAAACACACTTTTTTAGATGCAGTTTAAGACGAGGATTCTGAATATCAGCTCGGTGAGCTTCCACAATGCTCACAAGCTGAGATATTGCATGGTTTCAAAATATGGAGGAATTTTTGGAAAAACGTCGCTTTTACAGCTTTTGAATTTTTTCGGTAGATATGCGCACTGAACATTTTTTAAATAAGATATTCGTGATCAGCGTAAAATTTTGCGTCGAATGATGTATGTTTAAACAAAAAATGAGAATGTTGCTTGCATTCTGAATTTGAAGCGCCTTATTACACTAGAATTTTTTGCAAAAAATAATCCACCAGTTTCTGAAACAATTTTAGTTAAATTAGAGGAAGTTTACTAAATGTTTTTACAATATTCGAAATCAGTATTTCATACTCTTTTTATGTCGCTATTTCACAACTTTCGTCCATGCTTTTGTATTAATCCACATAGACTAATATAAGAGCATATAGTTTTTGACTTAAAAATGTCTGGATTGTACTCGAAACCGTATAGGAAAAAATTCTTTTTCTCGCTAGGAAATGTTTCCTAGTCTCAGATAACCGGTGCTATTTTCCACCGTTCTCCACTAAACGAAAGTTGCTCAGTCTTTGCACAAACGTTTTTCTATATGCATCACTTCAAAGAGCTTAGCGCAAATGTTCTGAATCGTACAGTGGGTTTTTCCAAAAACCTTGATATTTCATATAAAATCCATTTTTCCCAATCCAGAAATACGTTCAGGAAAAAACATGATATTTGTAATAGAAACTACATTCAATGTTGTATTCTTGTTTATACTTTTTTCTTCTGCGATAGATCAACGCAGCGAAGATAAAAAAATAATGACAACAATTTTTTCTCTCCAAAAAATACTCTTTACAAGCAACTGTTTACGAAGATTTCAAGATTTTAAAATGGAAGTCGAGATACAATAACATATTAAAAACTAAATTAACTCGAAAAATACCTGTCAACGAAGTTGTCTAATTGATCCTTTAAATGATTAATAACTATATTTTGTTTGGAATTTTGTCATATCAATAAAATAATGTCTAAAATAATATGGTATCTCTAAATAAAAATGTTTTTATTTTGTCAATGATAATCTTTGAAATAGAATTTCCCATTTTTCACCACTTGCAAAGTTAAGATCTGTAGTTTTAATTGAGAAATGTTTTAAATTTGGTGTATATTCATTTACTCAGGAATGCTCTAAGGGCCTCTCCCTCACAAATTGTCTCTGACATCGTACATCCGATTGTTACGAAACTTTCTATAAATGGTAGGCATAATGAGTTACCGGAATGAAATTTTTTTTTCTCTCCAAGTCTTATCGTTAAGGAGTTTTTTAGACATCAAGTTGAAAAAAAGAACCCTGAAGTATTTCCAATAAGTTTTAATAGGCTTTTCCACTAGACACCTAACTACATGGGCTGACAGGCGCCGATTTTTCAATTAAGCCTCTGTTCAAGCAATTTTATTAACAACGCACGAATGCTGATTAGACAAATGGAGGTTATGAACCCTCAATGTGCTTCTCTTACGGTTTAACCAGCCAACGGCCTCCT